TTTTCTCTCTCCTCGCCGTCACGGCCCCCGTTGAGCCCTGCAAAACTCTCTTCTATTTTGCAACAACCACCACCCGTCACCCTTACTCCCATCAATCACTATTCTACAAATTTTTAACCCCAAAAAAAGGGGCCAAACAGGGGCTAATTCATGTCCTATTGAGTATTCTCATATACTCACCAATTTTCCCCCCACTTCACAGGTTAGAATGGATCGTTGGTTGGCGGGCGATGAGGTGCAGTCGTGGTGCCAATATTTATAGAACTTAGTAAAAATAATCCGGTGTAACAAGACATTTTTTAAATTTCAGCAAATTTTCTTAGTTTTATTTAGAAATCTAAGATATGTTTTATTGGATTATAAATTTAAAATTGTGTAATGCTTTATTAGTGAAATTAACATTTTATTATTTATCTAATAAAATAGATATGCATGCTTTTTTTTAAATATTTATTTGGTTATGAGTTTTATCAATTTAATTGTGCCGGTTAATTTCATATATTTACAATGTCAAAGTTAATAGTTTTGGTAGCGATTTAAAAATTAGATTTTGGATCGTTACAGTTTGGTATCAAAGCTTTAGGTTTAATTTTCTCTAGACACGTATGTATTTTCATAACGAGTTAAAAAAAAATCATAAACAGTGATGCCATCACTGTTCACGTGAACTGTGGAAACATAAAAAAAATAAAAAGGTTTGTAGGAGTATTTTTAATGATTAAAAACAATTGTTATATTTATTTAAAACATAAATTAGTCGTGTGTGTATATTTTTTTTAGTAATTGGTATTTTTTTTTTCAAATAAAAATGAATTTAAAAAAAAATGTGAACAATGATGGGAAAAAATGATTTAATTTGTTAGTTATTTCCCTGCGTAACGTTTGTTAAAAAAATTAATATTTTTCTTAAGATATTTGAATTTAAAGATGAAGTAAATTTAAAGTCTTAAATATATGAAAGATTTTTGTCACTTAAGACCACTAATCGACCACCCTCCGACGACTCTAAGGTATGTAAACGGGTAAGAAGAGGAATTTATTCAAATATTTTGTATAATTTACATCTTTTACATTGCCTAATTATAAATTTTAAGAAATGCATTTTTTTTTCTCGCTAAATTTATAATATATTATGAGAATATGTGTATAACATGTTAGACTGGTACGGGGATTATAACGAGTGACTTTATATTAGATACTTTTTAGGAAATGACACTACCTACCCACACGAATTTGATACGGGACTTATTGCAAGCAGTACAAGAGTTGAGCGGGAATAATCAAGCACCGCCACAGCAAAATGCACCTCCATTTGTCCCTGGAACTGTCTCGGTGGTTGAATAGTTTTGTAGGTACAAGCCTCCTACTTTTGACGATGGTTCTGACCCAATGGCTGTTGAGGAGTGGATTAGAGGCTTGGAATGAATCTTTCAACACATTGCTTGTACGGATGCACAAAAAGTACTATGCGCGAAGTTTATGTTTGTTGGAGCAGCCAGTCACTGGTGGGAGTCTGTCTCACGCACTAGGATCGAAGAGCAGCAACGCGACCTGACTTGGGAGCAGTTTAAGGACGAAATGATATTTCCCACGGGTTTTGAGAGATTTCAAAGAATCAGAGTTTCTACAGCTCAGACAGAGGGATATGTCGCTTACTGATTGCGAGAGGCAGTTTGAGCAGCTCTCAAGATATGCTCCACACTTGGTAGATAAAAAAATTAAGAAGATCAGGAGGTTCGAAAATGGTCTACGCCCGGATATTGGCACGATCATTATGTCTCATCGTTTCACTTCAAATAGTAAAATGTTGGAGATGACTCAAGCTATTTCATATCAGAGGACATCATTTGAGCAGTATACACAACAGGGCAAGGATACATTGGAA